ATTTGAAAAAAAAAAAAATCAAATTATTAGCTTCAATAAGAACTGACCAACGATACATAATGTAGTACTGCTCCACACTAGGGGTTCCCAACCCCTGGTCCGAGGACCGGTGCTGGTCCAAAGATAATTTGGTAGAGGGCCGCAGTGGGACAATAGTGAAAAAAATGTACAATAAAAAATACTCAGTTTGTTTATTTCTGTCTGACCTGTCTGAAGTATTAATTAGAAATTATAAATTAAGATTTACTCGTCACACGAGAAGCCAGGCAGGAGGAGTAGGAGTAAAAAAAATTGACACCAGAGAAATATTTAAAATCTGTTCCTAAAGTAAAAGGGTGTTTTAAGAATTTAGAACTGGAAGGTGATTTAAACCAGTCCAGAATCAGTCACTAATGTCACCACAGTGCTGCGTAGGAATAGACTGTGATGATACACGACCTGGAAAATTACATTCATTACATTCTACACAAACGGGAAGCGTGCCTTTCGGTCAGATGACTTTCTAACTAGAACTTTCTGAGGTCAGAAGTTTTTCCCGTTGGTTTGTAGAATGAGGAGAGGCATTGAACCCAAAACCACTTACCCTCCAGGGGAAACACTGACACACAATATCTAACTAGCGGGATGCTGTAATAATCTTAATCTGTCACTGAAGAATTGTTTTACCCATGGTTCCTAGGTAATATATACTGACACTACCATACAGACATTCACTCCGGTAGTCAATATGGAACGAACGATAACCCAATTCCCCACCTGTATGTCTTTTGGACTGTGAGTTTGAGCTGTTTCGAATAGACATCAAAATTGGAATATTTACAATGTTTTCAAAATGGATACAGAAGGAAACATCTACACTCTGCTCACCGAACTCGGCCCGATCCAGAAGTTCTCCTGCTGCACAAATTTGACGTTCTCGTACACACCTTTGTTTCTTAAAACCTGGCAAACGGTAAAGGCAAAGGTTTGCAAGAAAGTTCTCTGACATATGTCAATCACTAGAGGGAGCTGGACTCACAGAATCAACCGTCTCATGCTGGGAGAATCCCACTGGTGCAACACCGTAGATACATACAGCCAGAATAGTGATGAGTAAATGCACAACGGTGATCCAGTACGTGAAGAAAGGCCTAAAAACACAAACCATTATCAAGGAATGTCACCTAAAACTAAATCAATCCCACGTTTAGACCTGAGCTGCCGTACCTGTGGTCGTCCATGTCCTCTATCTGCCTCTTGACGTAGCTGTCTATACGTTTGCGATAAGTGCGGTTTGTCAGCTTTCCCACCATGCCCAGTCCATACGGCCTCTTCTCTCGGGCAAAGAGTTTCTTGACCGGGACTACGATTCGCTGGCCGCGCCGCTGCCCGTTGACGCTCACCACCTCCTGCCGCAGGGGCACCTTGGGCGGCCCAGGTGTTCCCTCTTTGGCTTTACGCCACCCTCGCTCCAGCGGTCTGGAAGGGGTTACACGGACGGCGTTCAATAACGAATGTCATACTGACGTTTGCTTTCATCAGCACGGCTCAGAGCAGCGGTTTCCAAACTTTTTAAGGCGAGGCCTCCCGCCAAACAGTATTAGCTTATGGCCGGGACCTCCCTGCTAACCCACAGACAATGCTACAAAATATGTAAATAAACAAAAACTTTTACATTTTCTTACTTTTATTTACTATGGCAAAGTAAGGCTCGGGGGCCGGATGTAGCCCGTTCAGCTTTTTAATCCGGCCCGCCATATTTTTCCAAATTATATTATTTATTTATATTATCATTAAACTTCTGCCTTTTCCCTGCAATAGCCACATTTCCCCAATAGATGGTGTAGGAAATGACGAAAGCATTTTAGCATTTATGCAGGACTTTTACATGTCATTTATAGAAAAAATATTAATTTCTTTGTATTATTTATCTTATTTTCCCTCTAATTGACTAAGGCCCTCTCCTAGTGCCCCTTACACCCCCATAGGGGGCTGCAGTCCCCACTTTGAAAACCACTCATTTAGGTAGTTCTAACTCACAGCATCAGGTGACTTCTCTCCAGCTCTGTTTTGTCTAGAGCGCTGCCCGTCAGCTCCGTCTCATCCTTCTGGCTGCTGTGCTCTGCCTCTTTTATGGCCGACTCCGACGGCGACTCGAACACCTCGTCTGTGTACGTGGACAACTCTTCGTGCATCAGAATATCCTGCGCAGAGAGAAAGTAGTTGACTTGTCTTCGACTTATTGACTTGTGCTGTCTTTATTTGCTTTTTATACAGAAGCAACACCAAAAAAAAATTCAATAAATAAAATCCAAACATGACTAAAATACAGCCCCTAATCATCACAGAGCCAGGTTGGTGCTTTACTGAGGACCAGGAACTAATTTACATCTTCCTCCTTGCCTCTGTGATTAGTCACTTGTAAGTCGTTTGTATATAGCATCTGCTAAATACGTAAATGTGAATGTGATAGGTGGGAAAAAAAAGGGCAGTGGTCCACAACCTCCGGGCCGTGGACCGGAACCAGTACATGTCAAGATGCTTTCCTCGGTCACATGACTTACCTACATCTGCTCCCTTCTTAAAGAGTCTGCTCCGTTCGGTAACATATAATACATTACCACTAAGTTGAAATCGCCAAGCTAGCAACATGAACAGAAAACAAACATCTTTGGAAATTTTATTTAGTTGTTTTTATCCGCTAAAAAGCCAGTTCATAATAAAACTGTCAGAGATTTAACCGGTCCGTGGCGCGAAAAAGTAAGGGACCGCTGAACTAGGGTCCGATACAAACTTTTTGCTGATATCGGATTTCCTAATCCGATATCAACCGATATCGATATAGTGGAGCAGTGGTGGCCTGGTGGTTAAGGAAGTTAAGTGCCGCCTGCTTACTAACGGGATAGGTTAAAGCAGTGTTTCTCAATTATTTTGTGCCATGCTCCCCCTAGGGGACAGAGGTGAAAAAAAGAAAATGTGAAAAAAGAAAATCTCTGGATCACAGGAATATCTAGGTCAGAGCTGAAGAACGAAACTGAAGTCGACTTTGGCTAATAAACATAAACAGCACAGGTGACAAAATACTTTTGCACGGAAAAACGTAAACACTGTAACTACAGTTTTTTCCTTAGTACCCTTCCAAAGAAGGATGTGTCCAGTTCATCAGGAAAGTCGACCACGTCCTCCTCCATGAAGCTGGCGGGGGTAAAGCTTCGTCTCTGAGCTCTTCTCAGAGTGCTTTCTCGTAACGAGCGGCCCTGGGGGGACAAGAAGGTCAGAAATGTAGATTTACAACATCAGACTGCCAATAAAATGTGACAAAGAGACAATGTTTATTCCCCAGTCCATTACAGTGTTACTTTCCCAGTCATCAAGTCACCTTGACCAAGGCTGCGGCAGCCCTGAAGCTCATCCTGGCAACAGATTCCCTCTTCCTCCGCCGGGGCAGCCTGTTGAGACCTGAGCGGGAGCTGGTGAAAGAACAGAGGGAGGCAGCTCCGGGAGTGATGGGGGTTTGAGGCACGCTGTACCCATCCACCTCCTCCACCATACGGAAAGCTCGCCCTCGTGCCAGGGGATCCACAATCTGGAGAGCAGTGGGATTTCGAACACAAGTCAAGGGTATGTAGTATGAATTTTCACATAAGACATCACAATAAATAAATATTTGTTTTGATCAGGGTAAATAATAATTAAATAAAAATTGAAATAATATGAATTTACATCTGTTTTATTAATGTATTTTATTTAACAAAATTGTGCAACTAATATTAAATTATTTTACTTTTTATTTTCTTTATATGTGCGATTTTTATTCACTGTGACTTCTCGCTACTTTATGGGCTTATATAGCTACCATTGAGTAACTTTTTGCTATATTCTTGTTGCGCTATTTAGCAAAAAGTACAATTAATAATTATATCATATATATCGTAATATAATAATAATAATTATTATTATTGTTGTTGTTTTTGATGTCAGTATTATGTATATTTGTGTATGTCATAATTTTACAAAAAAACATCCTAAACATGTAGTCTTTTCAAAATTCATCAGGCGGGCCGGATTGAACACCCTAGCGTGACGGTTTTGGTCCACGGGCCGTATGTTTGGCCCCCCTGCTCTAGCACAAAGCATTGAATCATACTGTGCCACAGAGCTACATGTGTTTAATCACAGTATGTCAACATATCATGTATATATAAAGTTTATCGGGTTAATATGAGTAAATAATAATAATAATAAAAATAATTTTAAAAAAAATTTAATTTGATTAATTAAGTTTGATTGACTGACTTCTAAGAGAACATGAAATAGAGAACGCAGTAAGACATTTGTCCTTGTCCGCTCACCTTTTGCATGCCATGCTGTGAAGTGGGGACGTAGAGAGGAGGCGGAGTCTCAGTGCTGGTTAAGGAGATGTTGTCCTGACTCGGCAGATCCATCTCTCGGATCACCTGGGGTTTCAGCTTCCCGTAGCGCAGGCTGCAGTGGCGCAGACTTTTCCTCTGCCATTTTTGGGTGGCATCTCCATCCTTACTGACTCCAAACCAGTCAGCTGTTTCCCTATTGCCGCAACGTGTCAAACAGAACCCTATTACGATCAGCTGGTTCCAGACTGTGTACATTTATGTAAAGATCTTGAATATAACAGCAAGTGTTTCTCAGTAATGACCATGTTGAAGAAGAGAGTGTTGGCAGAAACTGATAAGGCTGCAGTGAAAAGATGCTACAGATAGAAGCACAAAAGGAAACATGTCTGGGCATGTTCAGGTCTGGAAAAGACTGAAATAAATCCTCACCCTTTTTGGACAAAACAAGGCCTAAAACTGGACTGGACAAACTAAGGCCCGGGGGCTGGATGTGGCCCGTTCAGCTTTTTAATCTGACCGGCAAACTTTTTCCAAATTATATAATTTATTTATATTATCATTATACTTCTGCCTTTTCTCTGCAATACCTACGTTTCCCCAATAGATGGCATAGAAAATAATAAAATATTTTTTTTTTTAATTTATCTTAGTTCGCAATCTAACACTGCAAAAACCTCAAACAAAGCAAACTTTAAAGCAGGGGTGTCAAACATATGGCCTGCGGGCCAAAATCGGCCCGCTTGATAAATTGTGAAAACAAAACAAAAAATCTTTGAAAATCTTCATGTTGTTAATGTTTTGTAAAATTGTATTTTATTAAACATGAAAATTTACAACCCTGCTTTAAAGCATTTTTTGCCATAACAGTTTTCTCTCCTTTCTAGAGAAATGGATACGTGTCACATTGCTGCTGGTTAGTGTGCTTAATAAGTACCAGAGCAAACAATGTGGCTGTGGTCAAGGGCCAGGACAAGGAAATGGAAACATTCTTCAAAGAAAAATTTTGGGTTTTTTTTTCTTTTTTTTCCCTCTACACTAATTACCGACTGCAGTGTCAGGGGTTGGTGTATGAAGTGAAACCCATTCTGGCTCAGCTAACTGTTTCAGTCACCTATTAGTTCATGTGAAAAGCAGGTCTGTTTTGAAACGTAACCACCTGCTATTTTAGAATCCAGAACAGTGTGTCTTCTCTCTACAGGTGTGGTTCAAACAGTGTGTCTTCTCTCTACAGGTGTGATTCAGTTTCAGTTTCTGGTGCTTTTTTTTTTTGTTTGTTTGTTTGTTTTTAGTGTAAAATTGAATCAGGATAATGTTCCAGGAAATAGATTGAGTTAAAAACTTCAACTGAAGAGCATTGTTAGAGGCTACAGTTTTTTTTTTTGTTTCTGTTTGAGAGACATGTAGGAAAACAAGGCTGAGTCAGTATGATGAGGTAATGAAGAAGAATTGACGGCAGGAAAGTCATAACTTTTTGGTTTTGGTTCCTCTTCATTTTTTCGCAACATTACAGTAGACTCATTGCTGCAGCTGCTCAGTGGAAAGTCACAAATTCCCTTTTTTGAAAAGAGAAAGGAACCACCTGACCGCAGGGCTCATACATCTTACTGCCAGCTCATTAAAAGTACAGGCTGTTTAAGTTCAATGTCAGACTCTGTTGATCGTGCTGCATGTAGCGGTTGAAGTCTGGGCTAACTTTTATTTCTTGTTTTAGTCTTAGCATTAGCATTAAGATATTTTTTTTTTTTGGTGAAAATTTGATGATTTTTGTACATTAATTTTTTTTTTTAAATAATTATTTCTAATTTTTTTAATTACTTTAGCAACTCACCCTCCTCTACAATTTAATTCAAATTTTTACACATTTTTGCCTTGTTATTATCTTTAGTAATTTCTTTTGTCATCCAATATTCTCGGCTAACCTTTAACTTTTTGTTAGCTTATTTTTCTATTTGAGCAATTAACTATTAGTTACGGTATTCTAGAATGGGTCTTAGATATTAAATAATTCGTATAAAATAATGTGCAAAATATATTTGGAAAAAAATATATTTTGGGCTAACTTTATATACTTCTGCTTTAACCTTGAGGTAAAAAATTTTAATAGCTTTTTGGGGTCAATCTCTTGTAACATCACATCCTGGTGATTAAAGCTGATTTTTTTTTACCTAAAAGTAACCAATTTGGCAGACAGCTACAGGTCTGTAAAATTTGAAATTATAATCAATCATTTAAAAAAAAAAAGTTGTTACAGTTTTCAAGCATTAGCATTAGCGTTGACCAGTGTTTTTGACTCCGACAGCTTCTGTGTGCGAACGGAGATCCCGCTGTACCTGAGCAGGGTTCTGGAGAGCGAGTAGTGTTTCCTGACGCTGCGGCGAGCAGCTCGCTGGCCTTTAATGGGGACCGTGTTAATCCGCTCAAAGTGCACTCTTCTGCTGCTGCGACCAGGCAGAGCAGAACCAGAAGAAGACGAGGAGGTGAAGAAGAGAGGAAGGGGAGAAGAGGGGAAAAGACAAAGAGGCAGTCAGAGGGGGGGGAGAAAGAAAGTGCAGCTGGACAGTGGTGAAGTCCACATGCTGACAGAGCAAAGCAGATTACTGTTAGGGCTTTTATTCGCCCTGAAATGTACAACATGAGACAACAGTCAGATAACACACAGGTGGTATTCAGAAACGGTCATGCAGTTAGTAAGAAGGTGAAGAGAAAAGCAGGGACGGCTGCAGATGCAGATTCACATGCACCGGGACACGCAGCGTCAGCGTTGTACTGACAAATGCACGAATCAGATTTTTTTCTTATGGTATTCAGCATGTAAAAACAGGGCTTTGATGATTATTATAATATCATGGTAAGAGTTACGGAAGTATAAATGCTAATTTTTTTTTATGTTTATTTCTCCTAGCGATGGCTCAATCTAATACTGTTCAAAATACCACGATTAATACGAAAAAAAAAGCACGGCATGTTATCACATGGATATGGGTATTGTAAGATACTCCAAGATGCAGTATCGGTATCACTGCATCACTGCATCACTGTATGAAAATGTAATATTGAGTCATCCCTAATTTCTTCATGAAAGTCTAAAACCAAAAAGACCTTAGGTCAAGCCATTTGTCTTTTTGGAGTTTTCAGGTGTAATATCTATTTACACTTATTCCTTGTGTAGGACTAAAATACTACAATACACTTTCAAGTGCTGTATATGTGAATAATTTAGTTCGGTATAGCTGTGGAAAAAGGTCAAAGTCTTGATTCTTAGATTTTGGATTTGGAGACAAAGCCTCAATATATTCCTTACTGACGTGGAAGAAATGTTTACAATCTTATATTTATACAAATACTTTATCTAAGATGAAACATGAGACTTGTCAGTAATTATTTGGTTACTGGAAATTTGAGTCAAGTTCAGAGAATGTAGAAAATTTACTGCAGTTTCTGTGGCGCTACTTCCAAGCTGTTTAAAAAAATCTTTTTTTTTAAATTGCTGTTTCAGTGCTACATATTTTATGGATTCAAATCAAGGCGAAAAGGTTCATTTTTGTAAAAGCCCACATGCGTGTATAAAAATATTTCAAAATAAAATATGTATATGTAAATAAAAAAATGTTAGCAGACAACTCTCTCAGTTACGTAACATTCCTAAACATACGCACATTTTTTTTTTTTTTAAAACTAACAACCAATCAAGTGGCTCACCGACAGCTAATCAAACCACAGCAGACAAACATCCAGTCGCATTGTTTACCTAGCGATAGCTACTGAAGATCCAGTGCTGTTAGAATGCAACACAGACAAGTTGATGTGTGGAGACTGTAAAGTTCATTGCGTTTGCAAAAAAATAAAAAAATAAAAAATATTGACCTGACTTGACTTAAGTAGTGTACCATAATATTTATGAGAAAACCTGTATTTGTTCAGTTTCAATGTTTTTCTTCATAAATAATGTATCTGTCTCTGTCTGTTGATGCAGTCTAATAAAAATGGATGACTATCAATCGGTACAGTGTTGACTTTCAACACTGAAGCTCAAACATCCTTATATAACAACATAGAAATGAATGGACTCTGTAAATAAGGGGTGCCCAAACCCTGGTGCGGGGACTAGTGCCGGTCCATAACTGATTTGGTACCAGGCCGCAGTGGGACAGAGTGAAAAAATGTACTTGAGTTTTTACTAATTTACTTCATTCAAAAAGAATCCAGTTATATCCCTTTACTTTTTTCATTCAAAGATAGGGACCGCTGCTGTAAATTATATCATGATGCTTCTGTACTATCGGTCCTAACCGTCTTTACCTCTTGATGGTCTGAGTGATGGATGACTGACGTTGCAAGACGGGTCGCCTCGTGTCAAAGAAGTCACGGGGAGGGGCCTGGAAGTGAGAGGGCTCCACTGGCATACTGATGCTGCGCAGGAATCCCTGCCTTTTTATGGGCTGCTCCAGAAATAAGAAGAGAAGAAAAGAGAAAAATTTGAATAAACACCAAATGAAAAAAAAAACAATTCAGAGGAAAAAAAAAAAAAAAGCACCTGAACAAATGTGGGAGGCTCGTCCAGTGACATCTGTGCTGTTGGAATGTCCAGTCTAAGCCAGGGAGGTTTCTTCCTCTGCAGGCTGCTGGTGCTCTCCCTCCGAGGTTCAGCCATGTTCTCTGTCCTGTCCCAGGCCTTCCAGCTGCATGAAGAAAAAATTGCAAAGTCACCGTTGCTGTCATTTCGCACAGACGTATGCTGTTCACGGTCTAAATGTAGATGGGGTAGACATTACCGAAAAACCTAAAAATGTATTCACGTCTAGAGGAGCAATAGAAAAACACAGCTGCATATTTCTTTCCCACTCTCTTTTGAAGGGTTGCAGACACTTCTGGCTGAAAATTGTGTTTGGAAGGAGGGTCATCCTCAACCAATAGCTGATCCTCAAAGACACTGAATTATCAAAATAATAAAAAACAAACATGTCAATGAATCTAAAGAATTTAAGGAGGAGATTGTGTTCTGGTATGACCTAACATGAATCAAAATCTGTTGATGGATGGATGGATGAATAGATAGATGGATGGATGGATGCATGGATGGATGCATAGATAGACGGACAGATGGATGGATGCATGGATGATGAATAGATAGATGGACAGATGGATGGATGGATGATGGATGATGCATGGATGGATGCATAGATAGATGGACAGATGGATGGATGGATGATGGATGATGCATGGAGGGAGGCATAGATAGACGGACAGATGGATGGATGCATGGATGATGAATAGATAGATGGACAGATGGATGGATGGATGATGGATGATGCATGGATGGATGCATGGATGGATGAATAGATAGATGGATGGATGGATGGATGTATGGATGAATAGATAGATGGATGGATGGATGCATGGATGGATGCATAGATAGATGGACAGATGGATGCATGGATGGATGCATAGATAGAAGGACAGATGGATGGATGCATGGATGGATGCATAGATAGATGGACAGATGGATGGATGGATGGATGTATGGTTGAATAGATAGATGAACAGATGGATGCATGGATGGATGCATGGATGATGAATAGATAGATGGACAGATAGATGGATGGATGAATAGATAGATGGATGGATGGATGGATGGATGGATGGATGGATGTATGGATGAATAGATAGATGGACAGATGGATGGATGCATGGATGAATAGATAGATGGACAGATGGATGCATGGATGGATGCATAGATAGATGGACAGATGGATGGATGGATGCATGGATGGATGCATGGATGGATGCATGGATGGATGCATGGATGGATGAATAGATAGATGGATGGATGGATGCATGATGCATGGATGGATGCATAGATAGATGGACAGATGGATGGATGGATGATGGATGATGCATGGATGGATGCATAGATAGAAGGACAGATGGATGGATGCATGGATGAATAGATAGATGGATGGATGGATGCATGGATGATGAATAGATAGATGGACAGATGGATGCATGGATGGATGCATAGATAGATGGACAGATGGATAGATAGATAGATAGATAGAACTATAAAAAAAACGATAGATAGATAGATAGATAGAACTATAAAAAAAAATATAAAAAACCAGAACTATAATTTTCTCTGCTCAACTCAACTCTCCAGCACTCTCTACAGCTGCCCAGCACGTTTCACATTCACAGACCAAGGAGCAATAAATACTGGCGCGTCAGAGTGAGAAACCTTACAGTTTTAGACCTAATCTCTTAATTCCACGGCTACGTTTAAATAGCCCCACTTAGTGGTTAGAACATTTGCTTCCCGTTCACACGACACCCTTTGGAGGTTAATTAGTTCCTGTGCGATCGAGGCCCGCGCTGTGCGTCCGCCTTAAACAGACCGCCCGCAGCTGAAGCCTCGTTAGCAGAAGCTAACATTTTACCGTGAGGCCGCCTCCGTGCACTGCCTGCGTCTTCGTTTCCTGTCTTTTTCATCATTTACGAGATTCCAGAGCTGTGAATCCGTCGCTTCTTAACAGTGCACAGCCTTAAAGATACTAGTACTAAGTATCTCTTAAGTGAAGTACATTTTTCATTTGACGTATTTGTGTCATTAAACAGGATCTAGCTACTGGGCAACCCCGCTTCAGGTATTTTTTTCCCGTGCCTTTGGCTAGCTTTTGGCTATTTTTGTTCACTTGCTAACCTGTGGCTAATTTTAAATGGCTAAACAATTAGGTATTGTTTTGTACAATGTTTAAATTGTCTTGTTATGTTACTGAGCTTTTTGCTGTTTTTTAAAATACTTTTTATGCCTTCACTTCTTCCCGGTTTCATCTGATCCTGTACCAAAGAATTTAAATGTTTTACAGATATCCATCCGAGCTAAACAAAATGTGGCAAACTTGTGAGCCACATAATCACAGCCTTCATTGCCATTGCAGTTGGAACCTTAAGCACTTCTTCTGAATCTAACCTTTGTGAGAAGATGTGGGCGTAGACTTGCCCTCATTACAATTTCACAGAAAGCCCTACTTAAAACAAAACCTGTATTCTGCAGAGCATAACTGCGTAAAATTGCAAGGGCGCTGGGCTCTGCTTTAGCGCTGCAGCTCTGCAAGTTTAAATACCTCAGAGGACAGTGTTGTCGCACATAGTTATTAAGTCACGTCCGGGGTTTGAGCTGCCAACGGGCTCACGGGGTCATGTCCTCTCTTCTACCATTACTGTTGACCACATCTGCGTTGTGTTGTCATTATAACAGACCACAGGTCTCTGTACGAGCGCGAGCAAAGATGACATCAGTTTCAGTGTGTCTCAAATGGAAGATTCAAGGCAGTAACGTCAAATTTCAAAGGTTCGAATACTGAAGGATACAACTATAGCACGTCCGATCTGACACTAGCAACAGCAGCCTGCGGGATGCTAAAGGAGAAAATAAAGTATCAGATTGATATCGGTATCAGCAGATACTCTAAGTTGCAGTATTGGTATCGGACGTGAAAAAGTGACAATGAAAAAATGTTTAAAAACTGACAAAGTGACTGCTCCGCTTACTTGCTAATAACAGATTAGACTAGACCAGGGGTGTCAGACTCATTTTGGTTCATTGCATACAACCCAATTAGATGTCATGTGGGCCAGACCAGTTAACTATAGCTAACAAGTGCATGTTTTTTCTTTGTTTTCATGCAAAGAACTACAAGTATATTAGATACTTCTTATTATTTATTCATATTTAATGAAAAATAATTTTACCAAAATATAATGAAAATGAAGTGTTTGTGTCAAAAGTCATCAAGTGGTCCGGACTGAACACCGTAGCGGGCCTGTTATGGCCCACGGGCCACATGTTTGACACCCCTGGACTAAACCCATTTTGTATCATAGGAAAACGACTTCAGATGGTGCTGCACAAAAACACTCTCAACCCTCAAATGTCTTTCTTAACGGATGTATATTGCATGTTCCTCGCGGTGGAACTTTTTCTTTAAATCCAGGGAATCCAGATAAACAACTCAGGAAAGGTTTTTTTTTTTTGGTCCAACCACTAAACATCAGTAATTATTGGAAAATATTTTAAACACAGCCATATGGTGGGAGGCTGGTCAGTGCACTTGCCTTAAAGCTAGCAGATCACCGGCTGGAGTCTGATGGTGTTTTTACTAAGACTATTGCGATCGTATGTTTAGCCCGTATGTGCGTGGGTTTTCTCCAGGTTCTCTGGTTTCCACCCACAGTCTGAGACCACGCGGTTGGAGATCAGGTTAACTGGACTTCGGGGCTTGGAAGCGACTATTCAAATGACCAATTACACACACAAAAAAAACCAACGAACAATGTTTGTATTTTGAATAAATAATAATAAATTGCAGAAACATTTATCAACACGTTATAGAGAAGTTACAGCTATAGAGTCTTGCGTTTACACCCAGCCCTTCAAGGGGAACTCTATCGCTGATGTGGCCCCCTGGTGGCCATATGGTCAATACGACACACTAAATAATTCTATTCATAGTACTACGAATTTACTTATTGTAATTTTTAGGGATGTTCAATATTAGCATAATTATATAATATCTGTAAGAATCGTTAAACTGTAGATTTCATCTCCGATAATGAAAACCCGATGAGGCAATGCCTTGGTTTTTGTCAAATTATGTGTGCCCTAAAGAATAGTTTTGGGGAAAAACAGCTGTATATAAAGGTGAAAGCCACTAGATGGTAGCATTGATGCTCATTTTACTAATCTATTTTAATAATCAGGGGATTGTATGCAGAATGCTGGTGCATGGCAGAAAATAATTGAGAAACACTTCCAATCTTCTAACTTCTAATCTACTGGTAGTTTGAGATTGAAACGTTTTGACAGTCTGATATTTTGCCTGTTTGACCTCCAGTGACATGTACTAGACTGTGACATTGGATTACCAACCAGAACAGAGTCAAAACAGTCTGTTCACTGTGCCCTGTATGACCCAGATACATTTGGTGTCACTCGTGCATTTTTAATCACGACTGCTGAGTCATCTGTGTACCGGAGATTAAACTCTTAAACCCAAACTCGCAGACTGCACGGGGTATGCAAATGTGACACACTATCTCAGCCTGTGCACAGCATCATCAACTGCAGCAACTGCAGTGGCAGCAGCCCTGCATCTTGCTCTGGGCTGAATGGAATATAATTACTTTCACTGTTGGTACAAACAGCAAAGGGTACGGAAAATTGCTCTTTAAAGTAGAAGAAGACGGGACCTTTGCATCAGGATGGTAAATTATACCAGAGAAAATAAGACATTAAAGGGAATTTTTGGTTTTTTGTTAATGATAATTAAACCCCGGTACACTGACTCTCCTGTCAGTTCTACTCTGCCTTCAGACCCAAGTTGGTGTTAGAAACAGTAGCAGGAGCAGAACAAACTCCATTATCGCTTTTATGAAGCGTCTTCCTGTATTTTACATTGTGTTTTCCCTCTGACTTTATAAACTAACTTCATCATATTTTCCCTCAGAACTGCGATCGTTATTGGCTAATTATGCCAGATTGGGCTAGCTTATTTTAGGGGAAAGATGTCGCTTTATTTTGAGTTTTTTTAACATGGATTTTTGGTAAGAAAGTTGTTGAGTTATTCAAGTAAAACATATTTGTTGCTAAATGGACTTGTTTACGTTTTCACACTTTTTGCTTCCG